ATAGTATGTATGCAAGTGCTTAGGATGTGCAAGCACCTTAAATGCTGTGAAAAAGGCGTGGAAGTCACTGACAGTTCAGATTAATATTTTTGAGATAGCCTGGTGGGGAAAAATGGGAGTACCCGTAATGGTTTTCTTGTAACACTAACTTAAGAGAAGACAACTTTGTTAATGTACGCCGCAATATTCTTTGAAACGTGCGTGCGTCCGCTTAAAAAGGTCTTCAATTCGTGTGATTGATTTCATACATTTTTCTAATATATTCATCTTCTTTATTTTGAAAAAACTTTCACAGCTATATAACTAGACCACAAATCTTTAGGTAAAATTTATTTTTTTTCCTAGATATTTTGTACTAATGAGGTTAATACATACATTTTAGGTTTATGTTGAATAAACTCGTCAACATTTATGAGCCTAAAGAACCTATTGCCAACCAATTAATGCCAAGTTTGTACCTAATTTATTTTAATAATCTAAAAATTAGGACTTAATTTGCCTAATTTATTTTTGTCTGTGGCGTCTTTTAACCTTTTCTGTTCTGTGTCGGCCCACAATCAGACAAGGATGCATATCAATTTTAAGATACCTTTTAAATCTGAATGGCATTCGTCCCTTGTACCATTATAATACCCTTGACTTTTGTCGTCTGTCGCGTTTTGTCCCCTGGCTCAAATTTGTCACGGTCCCATTTTTTACCCCATGAGTAGCAGAAATGAATGACAACAGGACACAGATCCTGCGATAAAAGATCTCCATAGCCACTATTTCCTGACCTCGTGGAAAAGCCGCTAGGTAAGCGACTGGTTCGCGAAAGAAAAAGTGATCTTTACCGATAATAGATATTTATTTTCTCTGGAATACGTGGAAAGGTATTAGTACATTGATTGTCAGGCGAAATTACCCGTACGAATAATTCTGATGAGAGGACAAACATCTAAATTTGTTCGATAAATAGTATTATCCGCAAGATATACAATACTGATCTAATATAAATTATTATGTTTTTATCTTTGAGAAATATTATTTTAATAAACGTGTTGTTTTGTAAGTTTCCTGTTTCGTTTGTGCCTATGTCTACCAATTAAAAAGCCTAACTGAGACCGCTGAAAGAACCTTTTTTTAACCACCCTTAAAACGCATAATTTTAAAACAAAAATCGCAGTCTCTTTATAACATCATTTCTTACATAATTGAAAACACAAACTACAATATTTTACTTATTTAAAACTAAAAATCATAGGAATTGTTTTCATATTACTAAACGTATTTTACAAAAATATTAACTCAATAGGCTCCTTGTTTAATCTTTGTTAACACACGATCTATGAAATGTGATTTCGCAGTTGCTAGTCATTCAGACAACCGAAGGATATTGCTTTACCGCTTTGCATTGCATCTCTTTCGACAAAAATATCCGTCTGAACGACTAATATTTCCGTTGACATCTTTAGCGGTTCTTCGATCACATCATTGCCACAAATTGCATTCCGGCCGGGTAAAATTTTCTGCTCGGTAAGTTTTGTTTTCCAGGATAAATTAGTTGCACGTTCTGCGGCGAGACACTTTTCTACAAACGTCCTTACCTTTTTATCCGTTTTAAAAAGTAAAATAAATAAGTGGATGTGAGGAACAACATATTAGTGTAAAGAAAACCATCGGAATACTTCCAAAAGCCACATTTATAGCATTTCTTACTCAAGTTAAAGGAAACGCAAATTACCTAATATTTCAGCAAAATATGTGAAAACTACTCATTGTATGTACATGACCTTATTTCGAGATGCTTGAACAGATTTCAGATAAGCGATTAAAATCGTTTATCTCAATGTTGTAGGAAGATGTCCGAGAAACAATATTTTGGCAATAATCGAAAAAAAAAATAGCGAATTTCAACGGATAACGAGAATTGGCGTCATTCTTTTTAAGCGTCTGTTTTCAAACTCACATGGCCCTTGGAGTCGTTCAGATCGATTGAGAACACAAATTTTGGAGAAAATCGTCTAATCGGTTTTTATGCACGCGTTTGTACGACATCGAACGGACGTATTGCCATCAATCGATTTTTTGGTGAGAACTACAAAACACGGATTTCTGCTACACAACTTGTTAGAGGAATAATGTATTGCATGTAGGAATGAGATTTATCCACTTTATTGTGACCAAAACCCTCCAAGGTTTTCAATAAAAAAATCGCCATTTCCCGCACCCGCTACCAGTAACTTTCTCTTCATGCGAAGGGCCAAGAAAGTAAAAAAAAAAAAACACGTTTGTTAAAAAGCTGCTGGCCCAACTGAACTAAATACATGTAGTAAATCAGACAATACCTATCTTAAATGCATGATTCCTCCGTGGTGCGCATGTGTTTCCTGGGAGCGGGGGCGGGCGGAGGGGGGGGGCGTGGGTGGCGGCTGCAAGGTGACCCCGGCGGACGCCTCCGCGCCCTCGCCCTCTTCGCGCCGGTCGCCGCGCCGACCGTCCGGAAGGCCCACCACGCGACGGCCCCTCTGGGGCCGAACCAAGAGCGCCTCGTTGGTCCGTGACATGTATTAGGTAAATTTCCCCTCTCTCAAAAGAAATATTGGGAACTCCAACTTCTTGGATGTCGAGCTTCTGATTTCGCGGACTTCGATAAAAAGGAATGTTATGCATACCCGCATGGCTTCACTTTCTCTAAACTTTCTCAGTATAATTTTAAATTCGTTACTAGAACCCCATAAGGTAAAATACTCAACAAAAAAAAAAAAAAAAAAAAAAAAAAAAAAAAAAAAAAAAAAAAAAAAAAAAAAAAAAAAAAAAAAAAAAAAAAAAAAAAAAAAAAAAAAAAAAAAAAAAAAAAAAAAAAAAAAAAAAAAAAAAAAAAAAAAAAAAAAAAAAAAAAAAAAAAAAAAAAAAAAAAAAAAAATAAAAAAAAAAAAAAAAAAAAAAAAAAAAAAAAAAAAAAAAAAAAAAAAAAAAAAAAAAAAAAAAAAAAAAAAAAAAAAAAAAAAAAAAAAAAAAAAAATCTCCGGTTTTTTCTCCTTTGCAGTTCGAAATGAGCGTTTCTAAAGTTCCACTAAAGAGACGCCTTAAAGAGAGGGACAAACAACGTAAATCAAAACGAGAAGTGCTCTCTCTGCCTTTTCTGCAAATTATTTAAATGAGAATATATATTAGGTTTATAATTATGTTCTTTCAGCATTTATATTAATTATCTAATTGAACACAAAACTTTTTTTTACACAAAAATATTTGGTGTTTTCACGCAAAGTGAGAAATGAGTTTGCTGTGAAACATTTGGCATTTACATATTTTAGATTTACTTTTACTCCCGAATTTAAAATACCCCATGCGCATTATTAAGGAAAATTATTAACTGTTTTCCAATAAGTTGTTTTTGATACAGTTTGTAAAATAGTTTTAAGGCTTTGGGAAAAGGCAACACCAAGCCCAGGGACATAACAAATAACAATTACGGACAGTAAAATAACATTCCACTTCTTTTGGATTGCTTGTGAACCATTCTATCGTTTAAAATATATATGGACGCCTAAATTATATACACCCAATAAGTATCTGGTATTTATTATCTGAATAACGAGCTACAAATTTATTATGATTATTATATTTATTGATTATTATTAATTAATTTTATTATTATTTCATAATTACTGTTACGAGCGATATACGAGTGTTAATTCACTAGTGGAAAACTTGTTCAAGCTGGGTAGCTTAGTTGGTCTGAGGCAAACTGGGCATAACAGGAAAGGGCCTTGGTTCGATTCCCGGTCGGCACTCCAATTAGTTGCAACAAATGTAATTAAGTAAATCATGTACAAAAGAATATGGATATTTGTGGTTCTCTTTAAACCAAATCACAATTGTCTCAGTTCTCGTCGTTTAAAAGTCCGCCGGGCCCGCGTGGGCTCCGCGTGGCCGCGCCTGGCAGTGGCGAAATCGCCAACCTGCGCGCTTAACTTAATTGGGCGCGGGTTTCCGAGCCGCTGCCTCCCATGCGGGGCCGGCGCCGCCGCCGCATTCCCGTCGCCAATATAGTAGGCCACCGGGCCGTTGCGCAATCGTGAAGGCGCGGCGGCCAGCCAGCTGTGGAGGGACGACAAAGGCTGCAGTGGAGCGAAGGCAAGAGGGGTGCTGGAGAAGATGGAGAGTAGCGTTCAGTCATGGAGACGGGTGAAATAGACGCTTGAGGAAAATATTCCGATGAGGTAAATAGTCTTTATTTGTATGATGTTATTTTTTTACAAATTTTTGGTTGGGTGTAACTCCACCTCTTTGCAAGCGAATTGTTCGCCTGGGAGCAAAAACAGTCAAGTTACAAGGAAAAAGGTGGGAAATATAATATGAGAATTGTGATGTTGGAATATGGAAAAAGTTATTTGACTATTTTAAACATTCTCAGCGTGATAACAAAAAATAGTTATTTTCGTATTAGTGTGAAGTTCGTTTCTTTCACGGTCAAGATTGAGATATTTGAAAGGTCCTACATTGGGGCAAAAATCTCCAATCCGGCCATGAAAAAAAATCTTCCACACATATTAACTTTTTTGTACAACTTCATAAAAATAGAATACAGAAGTTTTGTAAACTTGTATTGGAAAAAGAAGTCTGATACCTTGGACAATATAGAAAGGCATTTTCAATAGGGCCATAATTAGAGAAGATTATTCTAAACCATGTAAAAATTACTATTTTTTTACAGTAACAGATAGTTGTCTTGGCAACATTTTTGGTTAATGGTCATTAAAAAATTGACGAAAATTTCGCTACGGCTAGCGCACCACAGAAGGTGCATTTATTTATGCAGTTGTAGAAAATATTTTTTGCTACTAAATACTTGATCTAAAACCTGATGTTACGTTAATTCTGGCATTTTCTAAATGTCTCTTAATACTACGTTTTAAAAATCGCGAATATTACTCCCTGTTGGTCCAACTGTATTTTCAATTAGAATTAATTCTGATCTGGATTAAGGGAGCTTAGTGGAGAAAAGTGTGAGGCTGAGAAGGGAAACAGAAAAAAGCGTTTCGTCAGTAGAGGGGCATTTACTTCTATGAATAAGGAAGATGACCTTATTCATAACATAGTCCCACTGATTCCTGTGATAAACTTCCGCCTAACTCTTCCGAATACTCTTCTCCACATTACAGACGGATGTTTCCAAACAGACACATTAACCACGTGCCCACCGTGACTTCACAGTTGCAGCCATTAGATAAATGGAAAATATGAGAACGTTCCTCTGTACATTTGTCTTATCACTTCATCCGTAAGAGAAACTCAACCCACTCTCAGCGACGAGGAAACTTGAACTAAACGACCCTCCAGATTTAGTGATGTAGGAATTCGTACAGGGTCTTATTCATCACCAGAAATTACGCTTTCTCCATTCAAGGATTTAAATTCTTTCTTTATGGATAATCAGTAATTTAATTATTATTTTTTAATTAAATTCAGACTTTTGTTGAAATTTTGTAACAATGCATCACGTTGCGATAGCGTTATTGATTATCTCGGAAGAATTCACTTATTTCAAGACGGACAGCACGGTAATTGAAAAAAACCGGATTGACACATGTCCGGAGGATGTTAACAATGCTCGCTATGTGGAATAACACGATTTCGATTACGTCTCCTGTGCTCGTTCACCTAAAGTATTAAATACTTGAGCAATGTTTGTAATTAATGTTGCCTGTTAAACTTTCCGGGGAGGCGGCCGCAGGGTTCCACCTTGTGTTACGTCAACAGTGTGAAGACGAGTTACCCCATTTTGACGTCACTGATGCCATTAGACACTTGATAAAAGGTAACCCTTGCACGCATCTCACACAAACACCATAGCGTTCGCGGGTCACCAAGGGAAAGAACTACTGCCTCTCCCCCGAGAACCCATTTACCTTTATATATCCCAAAGCCTCTCGCATTTCAGAAACCACGGACGGCCCTGAGAGCCCCGATAATTATGTTTTCTAAGGAATCACAGATCGCAAAAAAACAAAAACATGTATGAAACTAGACTCTCATTCGGATATATGAAGGAAAACGGGCTGGGTTTCTTTTTGTATCTGTAAGCACCTCAGTTTTCGTTCAGAATACCTGCCTGGGCATCTAGCTTTCGTGTGCAGCTATTCCAATTGAAAAGTTTCCCGCACGTTTACTTTTTTTGTACAAGGTAATAAAGAGTTGAAGTCGACACTCATTTGAAGAGTAAGGAGACAGTGTCGAAGTTCAAGCATATTTAAACATCCACAGAAAGTGACATAAGAAAACCGTAACAAATTTGCTTGGTAAAAACTAATAGGTGACGCCTACCAATACTTACAGCAATGATATTGTTCGAGTATGTACTTACGGCATATATTTGCTTGGAAATAAAAAAAAGGATTCACATTTTTTTAATACAGCCTTCTTTGGCAGAAAACGCAAAGACATATGTCAAACTAATATCGAAAGTGGTCCCTAAGGAAAGTTGCACAGGCTAACGATTTTGACCTTAACACTGCTGAAAAGGAGATGAGCATTCCTCAGGTCACTGTAAACTGTGCTAAATAGCTTTCTCGTAGCGCTTCAAGTTTTGTTTGTCGATTGCATTTAGAGCTTCCTAAGCTGAATAACAAAAAGAAACAGGCGTCGAACAAGCGGAGAATTTTTGTCTGAATAGGAGTCAGCGAACAAAAAATATTTAAGGCTGAATCATAATTTCACGTAAGGAGTGTGTATTCTATAAGAATTGTATGGTCAATATTACTTTTGGTACAATCTCAATAACAGTGGCTCCATCTTCAGCAACATTTTATCCTGATTTTTATTAGCCCTTTCGTAGGCTTTGCCCATTCAATCATCAAATCCTTATCAGGAATCAGAATCAACCAATAGTCAATACCTGACATCCACCTAACAGAAACTCTCAAGTCATTATAGAACAGAAGTATGGAAATAACTTATGGTAGGGTTGCCTGACCAAAAATGTCATTATAAATTTTACTTCACGGTTGGGAACATATTTTTAGCAATAGTATTTATAATTACGAACACACTTTCTTAAAAATCACGTCCATCAAGTGTCAGTATCAACAACTCACTATCAGGATCCCACATACAATACAATGTACGTTACTTTATAAACGCATTGTCAGAGACATTAAACAAATTGAAGTCGGTTTCACAAGGTTTAAACTAAAAAGTAAAACCTTTTCTCTGCATAACTGTTTCTATACTATTAGAGATTATACTACTCATCAAAGGAAAAAATAATGTTTATCAGAAAAAACAGAAATAATATATAATGAATTAGTTTACATTTGATTTGTATATTTTTAAAAAAAAGATTAAAATGTTTGAAAAAAATAATGTACTTAGCTTCGGTTTCAATGACCCCGATCTCGAGGAGGTTTTGGTCCAGTTTTCCCGGATCTATGGACCAATTAACAAAATGCCCCGTGTTTTGCTTCTGGACGTAAATGGAGCTTCACTATGCGGACGTGTTGTTGAACTCTTCTTTGCTTGTAATGGAGCGAGTAGAGTAAGACAGTTACATATTTTGTTCAGCAATTGCAAAATCATATCGCAATCGTTTACCGTTACAAATCATTTGCTATAACTCTAGAACGAAAATGTGTAGTTTTTCAATGTCGCTTAACTCCGCCGCTTTTAAAAAAAATGATTTGTATTAATTTATCCTTAATTTTACTCAATCTTTAAACTAATTATAGTTAAAATGATGGATGAATTTCTGGAATTCAAAGCAAAACTTGTGCAGAGATTCTTCTCTTCCCATGCATAAAATACAGATTTTATTTTTTTTAAATGTCTACCCTCACATCCTAATAGCCAGTTTACAATGCGAATGTATGGTTCGAACCATGAGCTCCCAATGACCCAAACTATTGTAGGGGAGTTGATTCAATAGATAAAAATAATAGATGACGGGTACTACCCCTTCAATGCGCTTAATAAAAGTTTGAGGTAACTGAAAGAGTAAATCAAATTCTAATGGTTCCTGATTGCTATGAAGTGAGGTGGGTCTTTACACTTTTAACACATTAAATGAAGAAATTATAATTTAACAAAGTATATGGTTCCTCGCCGGCCCTAAATATCAATACACACGCTTAACTTTGTCACTCATTCTGTAATCGAGAAACTCACTTTCCGGTCTGCCAAATCAAACACCCAAACTAAACTTCAAGATTGCACTCATATCCTGATAGAAACCTTTACAGCATGTTTTTTGACGACGAAAGTTGGCGAATGACCTGTAGGGCGGATTCGCGTACACGCGTGCTACGAGAGTCATTAACAGATTCCCACAGGAGGAAAGTAAAATCTAACAAGCCAATAGACCGTTGTGAAATAAAGAATAATGACGCGTATTCATTAAATAAATATTAATGAAACCGCGTATCAATTTTCCTTATTCCTTGTTTTATTTATTAAAATCGTGTTTTATCAAAAACAGAAGTAATCCCTCTGCCAGATTAGACCTGTATGTCATATGCGAAGTAATCCGGCAATGCGTTCTAGTCGCTGGGAGAATATTATTGCATCAATCCATCCTCCACCACTTCTGTTATAATTCAGTTCAAAATGATTTGAGCGACAGCTTAATAAAGCGAAATGTAACTTTGCTGAACCCGCCCTAAAAGTAAGATTTTTTTTTTAAATTTATTTTCTGCATAATTTACAATCTGTTCCTAATCGGAACAATAAGCAAAATGGTGTCAACAGAACATTTCCGGCACGGAACAATTTATGACAATGAAAGATTTCATTTAGCAAAATCGGTAATGGCAGATCTAAAAATACTCTCTCTCCTCAGTCTATACACGCTGCTCACTGTTAAGCTAGTAGGCTTGTTGAGGAGTGAATTTGCGAGTGGTTGTTCAATCTTCTCTGGTATGCTGTGCTTTTGTGGCGATTACTTCTCCGCGGGACGATGTCGTAGGTCTCTGTATATTCGTCTTGTTTGTCACGTTACATGGTGCGTTGGCACAGTTTCTGAGTGTTTTAGCTTCGAATCTTTTTAAAAAATTTCTAGATTCGAAATTTACTGGAAGGCCCCACAATTCCCCAATCCATAGTCCATGTTGTTTGATTTATGTTTTATAAATCTGTATTTTGTTATGCAAGCGGACAGCTTTTGATTGTCTGTTTATTAGCCATGACAATTTGAGGACTTTAAG